CACAGGCAGCCGGTCACCATGAGAGCTGTGACGATGAAGGCCAGGGTTCGGATCGACCAGACCCAACCCCACGTCGGGAAGATTTTTTGCAGGATCAGGGGAAAGAACACGCCTCCGAGGCATGACGCGGAAAATGCGCAGCCCATTGCGGCTCCGTGTCGATGGGTAAATAGCTTGCTGATAGTCGAGACGGCCACGGTCGCGGTGGCGGCGGCGCCGATGCCGCCGAGGAGACCCAGGACGAGCATGAACTGCCAGTACTGCTCGCACTCGGCGAGGAGGAAGAACATGGCAATGTTCAGCACAGCCGCCGCGGGTGCCATGAGACCCGGTCCGTAGTGATCCATGACGGGGCCCATGACCAACACGAGGAGCAGGCTCAGCGACGTGTAGACACCGATGATCCATCCGACGTCTCGGGTCGTGTAGTCGTTGAGCTGGTTCAGCTGCAAGTACGACTGGATGGTGCCAATGGCTTGCATGAAGCCTGCTGTCCGTCAGTACAGAACGCAAGTGGTCTTCTGAGATGCCCACTCACCATAAGTGCAGATCAAGAACATGCCTGATCCCGCGACGCAAACCCATGGTAGCCGCCCGAGGTCGGCGACCCCGGCATCTGAATGGTCGGTGGTAGTGCCGCCGTCGTCGTCGTCGCGTGCAGCCTCCACATCGCTGGTGCTTGATGCTACATCTGCTGCGCAAAGGGGGGCTTCCAGCGCTCTGCTGTGCTTCGGATCCGACATGTTCGCCGTAGGAAATTTCAGCGCGGGATGGCAACCGATGAAACGTCGTTGCAGCGGGCACAAATGACAGTCCACGACCGCGAGAGCGAGGATGAAGCCATATTTGTATGAAGCAATTTTCTCTCGAGTGATGAGGCGAATGTAGTCAACCACGCCTTGCTGGAGGGACGAGTTCCACAACAGGCGCTGTTAGGAGCATCGCCGCAATTAGCAGCATCACCGCATTCCGCCAAGGAGCTGTGGACTCCAACCCGTCGGGCCAAAAAAGGCGTGTTCGACAACGCAGGCTGCATCCTGACTGGCTGGCGAGAACCGAACCACCAAGGAATCTTGAGTCATGACTTCGGCGGATGCTTCCACCATCGATCAACGCGATCGATCCCTCGACACCAAACGACCTGTCCTCGTCTGAAAATATCGAGATTCGCTATTGACGAGCGGGATCATGGACGCAACGACTCTGGAGGGCTTTGACCATCGCAACGAGCCCGCTGACTCCGTGTCCACAGTGGGTGCGCATGTCGATCCTCACGACACAAACCGGTTGCTCGAAGGCAGAAGCAATGTTCATGACCCCTCGAGCACCGTTCCCGGGGTTCTGACCCCTCTAGGAGACAGCCCCGGCAACATGCGTCCATCTGTTATCAGGCCCAAGCAGAGTTCCACAGCCGCCTTGCCCATCTACACCGCACAAAGCTCCTGTAGCAGCAACGGTTCCGTGTCCGAGTCTGTCGCGCCGTCAGCGCCCTCCGTGCCGCCTAAAGTCGGCACGAGATTCTCAACGGAATCCGCCCGCGTCTTGCGGCAATGGCTGGACACTCACAAAGACCATCCGTTCCCGAATCGAGAGGACAATGAGATGCTGCAGCGTTTTACCGGCCTGTCCAAGGTCCAAATTAAGACGTGGTTCGCCAACGCGCGTCGGCGACGCAGGTTGCCGGATAGCTCTTCTTCATCCGTCTGGAGGTCTCCTGGCGACGGCACGCGAACTCCTATGAGACCTGCTACGCCCATACCCATATCTCATAGAGGCAGAGAAGCGCGGGACATGAGTCCAATGGAGCGCTGGGTCGACTCGCCTCCGGAAGACGAGCCAGCCCTTGCCAGAGACATTGCGCGAGCAATGGCCTCAAGAAACCCGACGTTTCTGCACCGAGGTACGTACTTTAGTCTCCCCGCATCGTTAGCTGCCAACAGAATGGAACATACTCAATGTCTTAAGGGGAATTCGATGGGTCTGGCGATTCCAGCTTCGACGACGCCTCGGCACCGCCAGCAAACGACGACACTTCAGCCGGCAGCCGTAGTTCGTCGATGAACAGATCCGGTAGCTCTCATAGCTCCGCTGGCTTCAATACAAAGGCTATCCGGGGCCGCAGAAGGTCCAGACGGGGGCGACCTGGCCGCGACGCTGTCAAAACGTCGCTATTCCTGCCCGACGGTCGGTTTCAATGCACCTTTTGCACTGAAACGTTCAGGACAAAATACGACTGGTCGAGACACGAAAAGTCCCTTCACGTTCCCATCGAGAGATGGTTATGCAGTCCTCGCGGGCCTATCGAAGTCAACCCTAGCACAGGCGAACCCTGCTGCGTGTACTGTGGGCGGACGGAACCGACGAGCGAGCATGTCGCTACCCACAACCCGGACACCTGCCAGCAGAAGACTTTCAATCGTAAAGACCATCTAAAACAACACCTGCGGCTGGTCCACGACGTGGAGGGAGTAGCATGGGTCATAGAGGCCTGGAAAGCCCCCAGTCTCAAGATCCGCTCTCGATGTGGATTCTGCGACATCACCCTGGAGACCTGGCGTGACCGAGAACACCACCTGGCTGACCATTTCAAACTCGGACACACTATGGCAAATTGGTCCGGGGACTGGGGCTTCGAGGAGCACATTCTGACTACTGTTGAGAGTTTTATGCCACCATGTGAGACCTTTCCCGTCTCGCTGTGAAGACTCGGCGGCCGCGGCTTGTTGCGTGCTGACCAAGCTAGATGTCATTGACTACGACCGCAAGTCTCCGTTCCCGTTCATGGCAAGTGGACGAGCACCCAGTTCTCCCAGAAGCGCGTACGAGCTGATCAGTCTCGAACTCGCCTTCTTCCTACATCGACACTTTGACCAGCGCAAAGACTTACCCTCCAACCACGATCTGCGCCTGCAGGCCTGTCGTGTTATTTTTGCCTCGGAAGCTCTGACCGGAAGTCTGGGCTGCCAGGGACTCGGAGCAATGTCATGGCTGAGAGATCTCATCACTTTCGATGACGAGGTAGCTAAGCAAGCCAGGTTCGGCCCGTTGCTATCGCAGGCCGAGAGCAGGCTTGCCATCCTGCGCATCAACGGCAAGAGCACGCTATTTGAATCATGTCCCTTGGAAGAGTCGCTGACGGACTTTTTCCAACGGTCCTGGAGGGAACGGGCATTGGTTCCCGAGGACAGCGACCTTCAGGCCGAGGCGTATAGAATCATCGTGATGGCAGAGGAGCAAATGGAGACGAAGACGCCCGACTTTGTCACGAACTGGTTTGCCAAGATGGTGACGACTTCGACCGACTGGATCGGCTCTTTCAAGCATCGGAACAATGTGCCGATGGCAGAATTACACACTTCACAGTCACTACCATCGATATCTCAGTCTGCCCCGATGAACATGAACTGGACACCAGTTCAGGGTCATAGTGATCCCACTATCGGCGCTCGCCTCTTGATGTCAAATCTCGGTGGGGTTGAGCCCGATTTAGGGGCCCAGAACAACTATGCATCGCTACAGATAGCAAATGTTGGCGCCATGGCCTCGGACTTCCCAATGGCATCGAATGCCGGCCGCAATGATGTTCAAGATATGGCCTGTCCTACATCTGATATGCAGCACTCTATCCTGGACTTTGGATTCTATGTTCTCAACGACGCAAATTACCACCGGTGGTTTGATGTTGAGCTGAAACGCTGGGCCACAGCTACAATGTCGCCTGAGAACCCCGCTGGGCATGGGCACATCCCGTCCGATGGAGAGATCCAACATCAGGCTCGTTTGTTGCTCTATGAAGAGTAAGTTGCGATAAAGCCCCCTTCTGCCTTGCAATTTGAGGGTTGTTGCGTAAAAGAAGACACTGACATGTGCCAGTGGCGACCCCTGGAATATAACTGCCGCGGACAATCCAGAGTGGTTAGACAGGTTTAAGCGCGACATCGGCATCGTGCCTGTGAAAACATTACATGGGCGTGATCAGATCTAATGGGCACGCAGAAGTGTGCTGTTCGCGTCTGGATGGTTGTTTCGGAACATTGTGTGCCTGGGTATCTATTTGGATCTCGAAAGGCCGCCCAGAGGATTCGAAGTGCCAATGTATGCTATCATCTCAGAGGAAGTTCATTTGCGGAGGCGATTCTTCACAATGAACCATTTTGGTTCGGCTCCTTTACATCGCGACCCTTAGTCAAATGTCCACTTAACACAACATTCATTCCGCCTCCTTGAGACTACACCTGCGCCATCTACTGGCTTTCTAAATCTTTTATCGTGACCTAGTTATGGTCTTAAGGATCCATAGACCAGAAAAACGGTGTATATTCGTATAACGTAGTAAGATTGACTGAGTCATAGATTGACTCCAGGTATCGTGCGTTGAAGCTGTTACCATGTTCTAGTAGGTGAATGATGGACTGACAAGATGATATTGCTGCTGCTGCCCAGGCTGTGCTCCATGACGGCGAACAGACTTGGTGTCGCAGAGACTAGCTGACTAGCTGGTACATTAAGCGGAACCGGCACTATGGCTGTGGGCGCGCTTCGCTTGACGCTGCAGAGACTACAATATCGGTCAAGATAGAGCAGACCTAAGCGGAAGAGGAACTACATGTAACGTAGGACTACTCTTCTACATCGGGACTACCACGGCTGCTTTTTTCGAAGAGCGCTAGCTTAGTAGTATTGCTGACGTCTGCCGTTATAGTGGCACAAACACCTGTTCCTCCACAGACTGAGCTGCACACGGACGTGTCGAAGCATAGGGCATCGCGTCAAGTTCCACGAAACAGCCCTGGCGGAAATAGCATACCCAGAAACTGATATGTATTGGCAATTATCTGGTGTTATAGCACAGTACGCACAAGTATCATAGTTCATAGAAATCAGTGATACCACAGGAGACCACGAGAGCCTCAAACCCAACCAACCGTTCTGATTAGCACCGTATACCCTTTGAACTTGAGCCTGAGACTGGTACTGGCTGATCAGGCAAAGCGAACTACTTAGGCAGAGTAGATGGCAATAGCGTTATCGAGAATGGCTAGGATGTCGTTGACGTAGACTTGGGCAGTGCCCTGGACGATGCTTGGGACCTTGGAGACGAGAGCGGCGCCGAGGGTCGCGACAGCAGCACGCTGGGCCTGAATGCCGGCAAGAACGTCGGCCGTGATGCCGAGGGCGTCGACGGCGGGCTTCTGGGCTGTGGCAATGTCAAAGGCAGCATCGACAGCGGTCTGGACGGAGCGAATGGATGTGGCGAGGCTGATGGCGTCGAAGAGGCTGAGGTTGGGGCTCGCGTTGACGACGGGGATGGCCGCGTTGATAGATGCCAGGAGGTTATCGTCGGCTGACTGGATGCCGGCCGCCGTGCCAGCGGTGAACGCGGCGCCGTAGGCGTCAACGCTGTCTTCAATGACCACCAGGGCAGCCTGGATGGGCGCAAGCTGGGCCGAGACCTGGGTGATGAGGCCCGCAAGGGTCGCAACGGGGACAAAGATTGAGGAAAAGCGCATTTTGGCGGTGAGGTGTCTTGAAGAGAGTTTGTTTTGTGAAGTTGTCAACTGAGTGTGAAGATGATGCTGCTGGTGATTTGTTGTGCTTTTGGTACCAGGGCTTGCCTTTATTTATACCCAGGTCAGAACCTATGGGACCTCAAGGAACTTCTGGTCTCCGACCAGATCTTTGGCATCTTTGATTGAACTCGATTCCACGTGCTGCCTCGGATGGCAACAGAGGCAAAAACAGATGTCGTGATTCCATCATCCCTGTGTATGGCGCCTCGCATAGTATTGATCCTACTCGGCCGCAAGTGAGAGTCAGCATGCACGCGCTTTGATCGTCGCCGCCGTGGACGAGTCCAGCCCGAAGCGGGGGAACGCCGTGTGCCTAACCTATTGTCCTGGCCACAGAGTAGCATCTCCGCCGCCACCACGGCCGACTTCCCGGACTCGAGATTCCACCGCGCAGGTGAATGGCTCAGACGTGATGTAGTGCTGCTGTGCAGGTTTGGCCTTTTACAGAAGTGAGTCCGTGCTAAGTCGTATTCGCCAATGTGATTTTGCGGCAAAGTGAGGGGAAGGTTGTTGTTGTAACCATTTTTGTGAGGTCAAGGGGCAAAGTGACTGGGTTCCCCGGACTCGGCAGTCGAAAAGAAGATGGAGGGTAGCATTTGGCCGTTGAAGAAATGCGGAGAAGGCGTAGCCCCCCCCTCTGGACATGACTACGCTGGAGGATTCAAGTCAAACGCATGTGATGCCGACGAGAAAGTGCGAATTCCTTGTGAGCGACGATCTTGGAAGTATTGAGGAAATCCTGCAGCATTGGTAAAGTATCTCGAGGGTGATGGGGGTGCTGTTTGGTCACGCTTGAGCCAAGGGTTGTGGGAGAGGGGTCACACCTCAGGCCTAACTCAAAGGGAACATTATGTTCTTGAGACAAGCACCGAGCTGGGCATTCATTTCACCAGTTGGGCTCTGTGTCTGCGACATATCATGCATTTCTTGTATTCGCTGTTATGGTTTCAACTCTATCAAGCGGTCTTGCGGTCTTCTGACGGACAACTTCATGTCAGACTTTCCTCTGCTGATCAGCTCCTCAAACAGAAGCCACCCTTTCCACTTCAACCGTCTCAAGGTCGGCTTCCTTCTCTGACACGTGCACATTCCTCGTCTCGAGTTCTTCAACCTTTGTACTCTTGAATTTGCGAGCCGAAATCCTCTGCTCGAAGAGGATATCCAACTCGCCATAGGTTCGGCCCTTGGGCTCAGGCAGACGGAAGTATGTCCAAGTGAAGCAAAGCGCACAGGTGTCGGCCCAGAAGAAGCCAGCCTTGGCACCCCAGTTCCACGCCGATGGGTTCAACATGCGGGGGGTGAGCACATTGGTCGTGATGCCCAGGATATTGTATGCGTTCCTCGCGAGCACAACTGTCTTGGTCTTGAGTCGTGTCGACGAAAGCTCTGAAACAAGAGAATAGCAGATGGGGCCAACGGTGCAATTATACGTCAGGGTATAGACCAGGAGCAGACTGCCGATGGCCCATTGGGCCGATGCGTTGTCTCGCGAGGCGAGGGAGGCGAAACCGATGGTCATGAGTAGTATGACCATGATCAGTTGCCCACTGAGGTATAGTGTGCGACGTCCAAACCACCTCATGAGAAACCATGACGAAAGGGTGCCAACGGCACCGAGGGCGTACTGACCAAGAGACATGCTGAACGAAGCCTCAACAGCAAGACCGGCCTGTTGGTAGAAATATGTCGAGTATCCCATGAATGTACTGCCGCAAAGCGTTTGTACACCCCATGAGGCGCATACAATCTCGGTTCTCCTCAGGTCGATACCCTTGAAGCAGTCGAGATAGGACGTGCCCTCGGAGACTGCCTTCTCGAGCTCATTGGTATGAACCATCATGGACACGCTCTCATCGGCGTTGAAATCGGGGTTAGCGTTACGGCTCGTAAGTCGAAGAACAGATCGCTTTGCATCCTCGAGACGACCCTTACGGACGAGCCACCACGGCGATTCGGGGGCGTACCAGATGCCGATAGCCAAAGGGACAGGCCAGATCCACTGCAAGGCGAAAGGGATTTTGTAGCCCCACTTGTCGTCGCGTTCAACCATGGCGCGTAGGACACCACTGGCAATGAACTGACCGATCACCCAGCAGAGGTTGACATATGTCGTCATATAAGCGCGCAGATGGATGGGGCAGACCTCCGAAGCGTAAGTGACGGTCAGGGTCTGAAATGCACCCCAAGGGACGCCGATGAGGATCTCTCCGATCAGGAGTTGAACAAGAGTTTCGGCGAAGAAGATGATGAAAATGAAGGCGGCTACCAAGCCAAGGGAGCCGACAAGTGTGTAGCGGTATCCGAGGCGCTCAGCAACGATACCGTTGATGAAGAGACCAAGAATCTGACCCACAAGCATGCCGTTTGTCAAGCCGGACTGCCAGGCCGCCGTCAGTTCAAACGAGCCGTTAGGCTGTTCAACGCCAAACTTTCGCTGGAAGGCAGGGTACGCGAAAAGGCCCGTGATGAGCGTGATGTCAAAGCCTTCCATGACGACACATGTTGATAGGAATATGGACCAGGCGATAGCCTTGGGGTATAACTTCAAAGACTGACGGAGTCCCAGCTCGTGTTCGGCGTTGGTTGCGTTTTGTGCTTCATGGCTGACGGCCTCAAGATTGGGATTTTTGATGGACATACGACGCAAGGCCTCGGCGTCGACGTGGATTGATCGTTTGCGATCGTCGTGTGCCACGTCTAAAGTGGTCTGAGTCGCCATGTTGGTCAACTACCAGATGAGGTTTTGTGTGATGAATTGAACGTAAAGACTTGCTTCGGTCAAAGATGAGGGGAGTATTCCCAAGATGTGAGGTGAACTTGATGATCAAACTGGAAACAAGTGCATTAACAAGTCGGAGTCTTTATACAAAGCGAGGACTGGAGAGCTCCAGCTTATACCAGAGGAAAGTTGATGCAAGCACATGTTCCTGTGCCTCACACCAACGATGTAAAGAAATGCAACATCCAGGCCAGTTAGACCTTTCCCCGGATCGCCTTGGAGACAAGCCGCATAGCTGGCTCCCCCCCGGGCCACCCACCCCCAGCTTCCCCAAGGACGGCCGATTGGCGTCACGGCTAGGCCTAAACCTAGATTCCAGCGAGATCAAGCCGCATCCAAAACCGCAGCGATACCAAGGCCGGGTCTCTCGTCCAATCACAATTCGTATTGACGACCTAAGGTCGCGCAAATTGGTGCTGGACCGAAAGTTTCCGCGAGTGTTGAATGCTGAGCGACCGAATCATCGTGGCGAACGTCCACACCCCAATCTCAAACGGGCCAAGCGCTGGCCGACGCCATTCAACGGCGATCTGGGGATCGACAGCCAGTGGTTGATTGCATCTCGCTCGGTCCATCCCGGCAGTGGCACGACACTGAGTGGGCGCGCCCCTGCAAATCGAAGCCACCGAGAGTAATAGCGATGCCGTCGTCTTCGCAGAAGGTTGGTTGTTCAAACGGAAGCTTGCGGAGTCTTGAGACCCTTCACTGGCCCAAGCTCAGCTTGAGAAGCCATCAACAAGGATCGAGGGGTATTTCAGCGACATGACGACATGACGCACACTTCACAAATCAATCCTGGATGATGAGGAATCGTTCAGATCTAAGCGTTATGGATTAGGCACAGAATCGTGATGAGCGAGTTTAGGGAGAAAACCACAACTTCAGCAGGTGTCACGGTAGCCGTCGTAAAGCTCGACCGCTTTTCGTAATGACAATGCCAACGCCCTGCACCTCGAGGACCAAATTTAGCCTTGCAGGATGCTACGCATATCATACGCTGCTAATCGTTGATAGCGCAGTGCAGCCCATAATACCGAGCGTCCCACGGGTGCTAAAGCTTCTTATCAGACTTGTAATGCCGATCTCGACATGTCGGACCGACGCGACATCGGCTGTGACGTGGACGCATACATGCAGATGTGGTGAAGGTAGAGTTGACTTTCAATTTGCAACTGGTTTGGCCAGCCTACAAACTGAGAACAAGTTGATTGCCGATTCTCTCTCGGTTTGTTGCATCGATGATGTTGGGGTAGAGATACCTTTGGTGTAATGTTGTGGACTTGCTGTCTGTAAATCACGGGGATACCCGATTCAGAACGAGGCAGGCATACAAGGCGACACGTTACATACTCAAGTCCAATCAGCTTGAGTCTCTATCAAGTCAGTCGGACGTGCAAAGAACCTTCCACAGGTGCTAATCGTTATTAATAGTTGGGTATGGGGTTAAAGCATCTCTTTATACTAGGTAGCCATCTATACCTAGGAGGGCCTGTCGCCCTCAGATATGTACTCCCTGAAATGTAAGCCCCCCCGGCTCATCTTCCAAGACCCGTATTCTCGGGCTCTTACAAAGGTCTGACTTAAGGCCTGAACAGGCTTCGCGTAGTCGTCAGCTCGACGAGCGCTGGCCGTTAGCCACGTGATCAAAGCACGCTGTCCATCCATCCCCGCGCTGATTGACGCACTCAACATCGCTGCCCCACAGAGTTTGTCCAAGCGAGTCTGAGGTGTGTGCCTGTTCCTAGTCCCATCTCCATGACTCAAGCAGCTACCTATGTACGAAAGCCCTCACAGTAACCTTCACCTCGTATCCCTCGTATACGGCATAGCGAACTGTCGCCGACGCGAGGTGGCGTCTGGCCATTGTGGATTTTTGCCAATTGGTGGTCCAAAGTGATTATGTCACTGAACCTCGTCAAGCTCGTTAAGTGCCTCGTGGAGATCCGTTCGTAATTGTGAAAGGGGTGGAGCTGAGAGGAAACGAGGTACGAGCCATGGCAACGACGGCTAAACGAGCAATATTCTCGACGAACAAGCAACGCCCAGCGGGCAAAGGTGTTTTACACAACGGTAGTAAAAAAGCATGCGCATATCTCAACGCCACCGGCATCATGAGAGACGTTTACTTACGAAACAATCGAACTAAAAAAGGCATTTGACTGAGCATGATCAAATTGAAAGTCCGAGGGTTGCCCTGGCTGCGACCCAAGGTGGGTGCACATCCGTGGTTATTGGTGGGCGTCGAGATGACGATTAACGAAGCTCTTGACTCGTCCTACCATAGTCACAATGCTCGTCATCGTCGCATCAAGTTCTTGGACTCGCAGGGCCTTCGGGGACTTATGCCAACGTTTACCTGAACGTCCTGAGACACGTATAAATAAGGTACTGGTGGCCGCTGTTACTTTTCCACAGATACAGGCAACACAACTACAGCTACACCTTTCGAAATAGCCATCAACAACATATGCTCTTCGAGATCATGTCTTCCTTTGGCATGAAGTCTCTCTTCGTTGGTTTCCTGGTCACCAGCGTAGTCCAAGGTGTTGTCTGCGAAACAGCCTCAACACTCAGGGCAGAAGCCGCCAAGAAAGACATCCTCATCGGTTCCGGGGCGATCAACCCATCTTACCTCGACGAACCTCAGTTCGCGGCCATCCTGGCCAAGCAATTCAACAGCCTGTCCCCCGAAAATGAAATGAAATGGAATTTTATCTCCCCAACCATTGGAAACTACGACTGGCCGTTACTCGACCGCCTTGTCGACTTTGCTGAAGCGAACGGCATGGTCGTTAAAGGCCACGGCCTCATCTCAAGCTGTTGCAATCCGGATTACGTCACGGCAATCACCGACCCGGATGCCCTCCGCGCGATCATGACGCGGCATTTTGAAGCCCTCATGCACCGCTACCGTGGAAAAATGGATCGCTGGGACGTGGTCACTGAAGGCATGATGACAATGGGCGGCGGTTTGAATCCGCAAGTCCATTTTTTCAAGGTGCTTGGACCTGGCTACATCGCTGAAGCCTTCCGCATCGCCCACGCCGCGGACCCGAACGCCAAGCTTTTTATCAACGAGAACCTAGTGGAAACGATCCCCGCCAAGCGCCAGGAGTTCTACAAGGTCGTCTCCGGCCTCGTGGCGGACAGCGTGCCCATTCACGGCGTTGCGCTACAGATGCACCTGACCGAGGTCGGTCCTGAGCCGGGCGTGATTCGGGAGATTGTTGACTCGTACACTAGCCTCGGGCTTGAGGTCACAGTTGCAGAGATGGACGTCCACTCACTCAACACCACCCTCGTGACGGAGATCTACGGATCTGTCATGGAGGACATCTTGGACTCCGGCATTACCGATATCAGCTTCTGGGGCTTCACAGATAAGCACGCTTTCACGTGGGTCGAGGGCGCGAAGCCGTTGATGTTCGACGAGGAGTACAAGCCCAAGGGGGCTTTCTTCGCCACCCACTCCGCTCTGGTGGACTTTGTGAATGAGCCATCAATCTCAAGGCAAATTGCAATGAGTTGAGAGAGGAAATTGTGGAAGCAAGAGGTCAGCTGGCTGCTCAGGCGTGGGGGGCGCTTGGGGGGGGGGGGGGGGGGGGGGGGTTGGCTATCGAAACAGGTAACACGGGGGATATTGCGTGAAACTCTTAACGGAAAATATGTCAAAGCATGAGGTTGTGCAAAGTAAAAGGTCTTTCAAATCAAGTCCGCACGCAACAGATAATAAGTATGGGGGAAGTACACATCGTAATTCTTGCCCTCCGCAGCTTGTACGGCTCGTCGCAACCCTTATGTACACGATCTCGTAGTCCTTAGCCCCTAACTAGCACTCTGTTCCATGGCTCCGTAGAGGCGTCCTGGCAAAACCAATCTTATAGATTTTCTATTCGATAGTAAGTTGTTACTCTGGCAGGGGCGCTTTGCATGATTACTTTGTTAATGGGGCTGGAAAATTGGATTGCTCAGTTTTGCGCAACAGAATGAGCTATCCGGATCTCCCATGGACGACTGTCTTTTCTTTTTTTTTTTTTTTTTTGTAAATTGCTAGAGTTCATGGTGATGATAGAGGTAAGCTAAGCCTGATCGTTTTCCGATCGGGCGTAAATCTTTTGATGACAGCTGAATCGGTTATCTTAGTTCTAGCTCACTGCATACAGATACACGACTCTGTGAATCGAGGGACGCTTTGGGAAAGAGCCACCAAGTATGCTACGTGAACTGAGTCTTTTCTGATATATGGATCATACTTCTTCAGAGTCTTGTAGACGTCATGAACGTCGTGGCCGATTTGGGTATGTGGTCTGCCAAGTCCCTAAAATTACAGGATAATTAGCGACGTCGCTCAACAGAATGTGAAGCCTGCCGATCTACCGAAAATCAAGCATCCCAGCTCCCTGGAAAACCCCACGATGCGTCCCGAGTCATCGCTCGAAAGACTACAGCTATTGAGCCCCGCATGGAAGTGCCTCCCATCACGCACACCCAGAAGGTCCCGCGCAAGTTGCATCGGAGCATACCAAAGAGGAGGCGCTTATTTTGCTATCATCTCGACAATCGAGAGGTGCTGAAACTAAGTCTATTACAATTCTTTTGAAGCCCCACCTCAGGATCTTGACAATTCTGCTACTTCATAGACAATCAAGAACCTGAAGACTGCTCTGTGCATCTAGAGCGGCTGTCAACCATACCCCGCCGTCGACGAAAGTAATGAAGGTACGTCTAATCACATTTTTTCGTGTGCCTTTTCTGTGCTTATCAAGAGCCAGCGACGGACTGCATACCTCTTGAGGTGATGCTAGCGTTTCAAAGCACCTTGTTGTTGAAATAGATATGGCGGCGCACGTAGAGCAGTGGTCAATTCGCCCCTTTCGGGACGGTCATTTCGGCTGACAGACAGACTGCTTCAGTATTCTTGGACGGCTCATAGACTCCTTGTCTGGCCTAGTAGCCCGCCCAAAGACCATGCCTGCGTCGCCTGCATTTCACTGCTGAGGTCTCCGACATGAACAGGGCTCCCCCATGCCAAGCCCGTGGTAGCCGAGCCCAAATCAGTAGGGCGCAGAGTCCGAAATCGGGCGGGCGCCTCCAATCTCTTTAGGGCTCGCCGCGGAATCAAGGATGCCGATACGCCGCCCTTTCTGCCCGCACGCCAGCTCAAGCCTGCAACATGTCATTTCATCTGGTCGGGGCTCCCGCAACTTTAATGCTGGTAAGCTTATTCGCGATAAACTCGACGAATTTCATGATTCATGGTGCAGAATCTGCAACCCGACAACATCCAAGCCGGCCCAGGACCTGACCTCACGGCAATCCGGCAAGGCCTGAGGTACCAACAGCCAACCACCGTCTTGAACTGCTAAAACGTTGTTGTCCCAAGGCAGTCAAAATGCCACGACGCAGGCATCCAAAGAAAGTGGAACTGCCCCAGGCTTTTTAAAGTAGTCCCCACGTGCTTAAGTGCATCAAGCTATGAGGAAGAGAGCGCTGGATCGTCTGTTCGATCCATGAGAACAACCTCACTACATGCAAGCTGCACTAGGGCATCAGTAGCTCATGGTAGCTCCCCTTGATCTTCCACCGTTCACAGGCCGTCTCCAAGACGCCACCTCCCCTTCATCTCCCAGGAAAGCCGGTCCTTTCCCTCATCTGCTCGTTTCTTGACATCACCAAGGATCAATGAACTCCTCCGCTGAAGCCAACCAGTGCTCCTCGCGGCGCCCTTCTGCCATGCAATGCACAGCAATCGCTAACGCGCCACGAGCGGACCCGCAGGGCTCCGCTGGCCCCAGAACGGGAAAACGAAAAACGAAAATTCCACCACTGGCATCGCGAGGCAAAAGGCGGGTGAAGTGTGGCGCGATCGTTCCTGGGACTCGACGAGGAGCCACAATATAGGCAAGCAATGGCATTGGCTCGGCCCATGGACACGGCAGGGGTTCTCCGCATGAGTGGCGCATCTTTCGACATTGGGGGGAAGCTCTCTTGTCTGGTCAGCATCTTGACACTCTCGGCGTTGTAGGACACTTGTGTTGTGACAGCTGTAGGATGGGAAGCCAGAAGAAAAGTACAAATACCATGGACGACGATCCATCTTGATGGCTAAAAGAAGCTCTTCAGCAGCTACAGTCGACCACCGTCTCTCTGCCGCCCGATCTCCTCGTCCTATCCCATCCGATCTTTCACCATGAAGTTCAACGTGGGCCTCCTCTTCGTGGCCTTTGCCAGCGTCACCTCTGCCTTCCCTCTCGAGTATCTCAAGATTGCCTCTTGGGATGTCGAGGGTTTCGCCAAGAGCAACCCCATTGGCGTGACCACTGGCGGTAAGGGCGGACCGACCGTCGTGGCCACGACAGCAGCCGAGCTCATCGCCGCCGTTGCCGGCAACGACCCCAAGATCGTTCGCGTCAAGGGCGACATCACCCTAGCTGCACGTCTCAAGGTCGGCTCCAACAAGTCGCTCATCGGCGTTGGCTGGTCGGCGCATATCACCGGTGCTGGTATCGATGTCTTCAACGGCGACAACGTTATCCTCCAGAACCTCAAGATCAGCTACATTGTTGACAACGATTGCATCACTATCCGCAACTCTACTCGTGTCTGGGTTGATCACAACGAGTTCACCTCCGACATCACCCAGGGACCTGATGCTTACGTATGTCTTCAATGTCAGAGTCTTGATGGTACCAGACGATTAATCAAGGAAACAGGACGGCCAAGTTGATATCATCCGTGGATCCGACTACATCACCGTCAGCTGGAACTATTTCCATGACCACGTACGTTGAGCACACACAACAATCAGTTACCTGTCGCCTGCTAACGCATCATGATAGTGGAAGTCCTCGCTGATCGGCAACAACCCCGATTTCCGCGACATCGACTCCGGTAAGCTGCACGTCACCTACCACCACAACTGGTGGAAGAACATGGGCACGCGCGGCCCCGCCGGCCGCTTCGGCCGCCAGCACGTCTACAACAACCTTTACGAGGACTTCCTCTACCAGGCCATTCACTCGCGCTCCGACAACCAGGTCCTCGTCGAGGGCAACGTCTTCCGCGGCAAGACCCGCGAGGCCCTGAGCTCCTACGGCCTGGTCATCCCCGAGGACTCGCCCAACACTTGCGTCTGCGGCGACGAGGAGCTCGACGGCTATGCGAACCTCGGTGCCAGTAAGTGCTGTCCCCCTTCTCCCACTCAAGCGGAAACAGCCCGAGATTTATTACTGACGGTATCGCGCAGAGAACGACTGGGGCAACGCTGGTGTCAACATAACCCAGGTCGGCGACTTCTACAAGGCCGACTACAAGTTCAAGCTCACCCCGCTGAAGCTCGTGCCGCTCGTCACGAAGCTCGGTGCCGGTGTTGGACGAATCTGGTAATCGGTGCTGGAGTTCTTCTGCATACTATAGAAAGCAGGGAAGGAGGTGCTAGATTGCGGCATCTATACTTGTATATACATCTCAGTAATCTAATTTGTAAATGTCTCTCTTCAAGGTCAAAAGGCGGAGACCTCAGCGTGATATGAGTTCAAGCATCTTTCAAGTACCCAAGAGCAAAAGCTAACAATGCTTGGACAGTCGCGCGGGAGGAACAAGGCCGTGTCACTTCTGTAGCTATAAATCAAGGGCCCCTTGGTGGTAATCTTGGCCGCAGATAGTGCAATGCGCAAACGGATGTGGTGATCCTCTCAACACATTGGAGAAGACTGCTGCATCTGACATGATCTATTTCTGAGCCCTTTTGTTTTCGATGGGGAAAGGGTGGGAGCTGCATTACAAGGGAACCACAAATAAGGGCACATATGCGCATCTAGTCCAAGGCTGATGGACGAACCTCCATAGGCAATGAATGCCCTGAAGTATCTCAATTGCATAGTCTGCTTCACAGGTACAGTAAATTACCTGAACGATCGTCGATTACCATTGATGAGGCCCTGTTACGTGGTGAAATAATATAGGATCAGTTCTCATCAACCACCCTGTCTTTAAGACACTGGACAACAATTGATCATGTACTGGCGGGTCTGAGGTGATTATAAAGATAGACAGTGAACGTTTAGCATTGCAGAACTTGAATAATTCTTCAATCATCCATGGGGCTAAGATTTGAGTATATACAGTAAACTGCAAACTGAATAAAAGAGTGTCATCTGCTGATTTATGCCACTGTACCATAGTCACTTCACTTTGCTATGAAAGTGTAAAGGAAATAAGAAGCCGAGGAGAGATTTTTAACCGATAAACTATAATAGGCTCTCACAAGACGTTTATCAGTCTTTGTTGGAGTGCATTAAGAGCACGAAAGTACTGACTTCCAGGCTGTATGAGCTGGACTCAGGGGCTTACTAGATGCTATCCCTACTTCATTTAAACGGTATCAATGGCCGTCACATGAGGTCTGGTGAAATCATCGAGATGTATTGAGATACACGGCCTATTGCAGTAATCCACCAGGTGGCGATCTGCTGGTTCAGACGGCCGAAGAGATTTCAGTAATTGCGTCACGAGTCCAATGGGAACACGCTACGACTAGTGGTAGAACATCGGTATGTGTTTATTTCCAATTCAACACTCCTCTGCTCTCGGGTCGAGATCGTGATCCGCATGGTTCATGAGGACACTTGTAGGCTGGAACGTCTATGCTCGCGGCATCTGGCTTAGCAAGCGTGATGCAAATAAGGGTCTGGGACTAGACTGGCTGCTAGGATTGTACATGATAGCATGAGAAGGTGGCTCTTGTCCGAAGGTTACTGTCAAGGGAGCTGGTCTGACATTACAGGATGGTTAACTTCATCTTCCGCCGGCCGGTCACTGCATCGAGTTCAAGTAGATGGCACCCAAAGACAGTATTTCGAAAGAACACCTAAATATCGTGAGGAGTTCAAAACCAGTGTTTGAGCCGGAATGACTTGTCTCGATGGGTTGGCCACTTGGAACATCAGCGGGCCATCTGTATCAACGGAAACGCAATAAGCGATACCACGTTGCGATCGAATTCACGTCGACAGCCTTCCAGCTAAGCAATGACACGCATTCTCTGACGTTCACCTCGTCCTTGTCGTCTTGAACTCAACCCTACGAGGTGAAAATCACAAGTGCTGGATAACCAACCTCGGTCATCATCCGGCCACCATAGCATCCAAAGTCATGCGACTTCCGCGGACCGAATCCGAGTCATTTTCACACCCAGGACATGAATCTGGCACTGAAAGAGAGAGAAAGAGAAAACCGTTGCAGTCCATCACCGGAGATACAGGGGCATGTTCATCTCCCGGACAACTTGGCAGCCGGTGCAGATCCACTTGGCGATCATCAGGCTTGGCCGATGATGCGCCTGGCGTTGCAATATGATTCATTTCAAGAATCACAAAATGGATAATGCCAAGACGTCAAAATCCAGACGTTTCAATCCTATTGATGCAGTATTGAGTCGACAAAATGCCTCATCGGGCGTCGAATGGGCCAAGAACGTGCAGGCACAGCCTCATTGCAGAGACAGCCAAACAGCATCGTTGCCAGTTGCGAGCTGCCGTTTGCAGGAAGTGTCCGCGAGGCGAAGGAGGCACGGCCAGAGAGGAAGAGACATGGCGCATTGGATGTACTGTTGAAATTGAAACTGGCATGGCTGTCGGTGAGCTGGTCGTGTTTTCTTTTTGGGAGGCTTGCACACGCATGACTCTGCTCAAGCAAGAATGCGAGACGGCCAAGGGAGAGGAACGGAGGTCCGCCCAGGCCCTCCGCAGCGGCCAGACGACGCTTGCGGGAGGCTCAGCAAGTACGAGCGTCAGCAGTTTCATGATCACTCCGTCACGGGCGAGGCTTGGCCGGTGGTGACGAGGTTGTCGTCGTGGACGGGCGTCGTCAACATTAACTCTACTTGATTGCCTGCTCGTCGCAGCTGTTGTACCGTCAGCGTGAGCGTCAGCGTCAGCGTCAACCTGGGACGGAGCGAGGCAGACAGACTGTTCGCGGCCATCGAGATGTGCCTCCTGGTTGCCAAGGCGGTGTCATGTTCGGACTGGGTTGTATAATGCCAAGACATGCGACATGTGGTTGGGAATCACAGGATGTGAAGCGTCTCGAAGCGACCAGTGATCGACAGCTACTACGACGAATGCGAGAGGAGCCGGGGCGAAGCAAATAGATGGCGTACCGCGGAGATTGGCCCGCTGTAATCAAGTCCCCGAGCGACGCGCGCTGTGCATCAACACGGAACGCCGCGACGCCGTGTACCTTAGTAGAGAAGCAGTGTGCGGTACGGCGAAGGGAAGAATAGTGGTTCGCCGTCGGCGAGAGTTCATGCCGTACCTCTGTCATGTCCAGACAAAGTGCCAGACGGCGAGAAGTCACGGAGGCCTCGAAGGCGAGGCGAAGGTGGCTGAGGCCAGGGGCTAAACGAGGTTGGCGTCACGAACTAGGTTTGATGACCGCCACTCGAGATCGAGGTCGTTAGGGATCCAGAACGTGGTGATGCGGAGGCAAAGTCGAGATATCCGATTCTCTGCGCTTCACGTTGCGATCAGATGCCATCTCCAGGTCAGGTCGTGACGCTGCTTCGCCGTTGGCCGTTCGCTGTTCGTTGTTGCGACGTGCACCGAAAGGAGGTAGGTACGTGACCTTTCAGCAGGCACCTTAGGGGAGATGCATGTGCATGCGGCCGCTAAGAGATGGAAGTGGAGAAGGTTCGATCGTGTTCGGAAGGTTAAACGATCCTATCAGGGGTCCTGCTGTGCGGGAGGGAGCCCTTTGCCCCTGAGCCAATGACATCAGGAGCGACCTCTCTTTGACGCCATGGCTATCCTGGCTGCTTCGCCATGCTTGGCATGTGTCGGACCAATCGTGAAGGGCAAGAACCCCCCCACAGGCCGGGATACGGGGGTCTTGCTGCGAAGCTTGGCGTGGGCATCTGGAATTTCAGAGAGAATGGAGGCAAGTGGATTTCTGGAGCTCTCCTTCCTTCTCTGTGTGCCTGGCTGTATCGTGCCTGCTTGCTGAACTACTAACGGTGCTGGTGTCGTGTGCTGCCTGTCAACCAGGCACTGTCGACCAGGCAGCTCTCTCCACCCTCCATCGCCCCAAATCTACCAAGCACCACGATCGCAGCGTCTCGACCCCGATGGTCCATGACCAGAGCCAGACACGTGCAACGAGGACCCGAGGAGCTGGACTGAGGAAGAGGCCGCCGCCAGAGAAGTAACACGAGCTGTGCTGCGCCTCCACGATCGATGACCGACATGGTCACCCAACGAATGACTCGACCTAATCCAGCTATCGTCTTCTGAACGCACGTTGACAGTCCGACGGCGTGAGATCGTTGAGGGAGGGGCCCAGATCTAAGATGCACGACGCAATAGAGCATTGTACAGCACACACTGGTTGACGATCCGACAGAAGCCTTTGTTTCCCGAGCTCGGTCCACCACCTCTACACACTGTTGGGATGGCGAGGATGGATGGGGAGTGGTACCTTTCCAGGTGCCGGTCCGACCTTGAGGCCTTGGTGCTGTACTGTGTACGGCGTCCCTGCCGGCGTACATGGCAGCTAGGCCGAAGTCAACGTACAACTTGCCGGCCTTCGTGTCCGTCGTTTCGTTTCGGCGGTGAACTGACTGACCGCATCGAATCGAGCTCCAAACGCCAACCCCCCAGATGAACCGGCGAGACGCTCAATACTCGACGCTGGCGCCCAAAGGCGTCAATGTTCCTCTTGGCACTTCACCAGCAACAGGAAAACCAACGTATCGAACCTTCGACAGACAAATGACAAAGCTCCCTGCGCTGCAAATGGCTGTGGTCCGGCCTTTGGACGAGCGCCAATTGGACAAACCAGAAACCATCCTCCACGGTTGGGTGCCCACTCGCGTGCTTTCGTGCTCCTGCACAGCCTCAATGCCTCCCCTCTCATGCAGTCCCCCCTCCCAAGGATTGGGGGTCAAACGGGTTTGCTGTGGTCCTTGTCCCAGCGCTTTTGGCCGTCTACTCGACCCTTCATTGGATACTGCGTCTGGAAGGGAGGGAACTTCAGGAAGCCGTTCCAACAGATGCTGCAGTATCACATCACCATGGCGCCCTCTACCCCCCCTCTTTGGTTCACGGCGAAGTTTTCTCCTCGCGAAACATCCGCCAAGACCCGAAGCATTGCTTGATTCCTACATCAGGGGCTTCAATCACGCTTCTCCTCTTGTGGGGAAAGGCCCCTCTCCCTTTCCATGGCCTGGATGATTCCTCGAGCGCGCGACTCGCCCCCGTCCAGTGATCGACTGGGTATTCGACCCGTCTAGAAACTTTTAGCAGGCCTGCACAGCCCCCCTTCTGCCTCTTCCTTGTACCCTTTTGCCCATCCACCCGCTTGTTCGCACACCCCCCGAAACCGAGCAGACGATGAGACCAGACCAGTACTGTCACAGCGCTGAGCTCTTCATCGACGTTCGACAGGGCCCTTCCTGGACGTACCCCCGAGACCTTCATTCAATTACCGCCCCGTTGCCCCCCTCGCTGCCTCCAATCTGGTTCTGGCATCTGCAATCTCTTAATCGCTGAGACAAGGAAGCGTTCTCCGAAAGCTGCACTGCCCTCCACATGTACCAAACCAGACCTTGGACAGCTGCACCGAGCTCCAGCTCACCCGTCGCCTGTGACTACCGATCCAGCAGTAGCTTTCTTTCACCTTCTTCTACTCTTCAAGTTTGCCCTGTGTCCATTACCGACGCCGAATCTAAGCCTGTCCGCCTGAAATTACACGCCCCCCGAGGACCGCCAACGTAGGGACCCCACGAGGCGCAGTTACCTGTTTGACGAAACTCCTTGAGGCAAATCGCCCTCCCAAGCGCGTCACTACTTGTCGCCTACCACCTTGCCTACCTTTGCCCACCTGCGGTCGGGCGAAACCTTTAGGCCTCCCAAGCACTGCCCGGCTCCAAGGGTGGCGTCTGTCTTTCTTCAATATATTACCCACAACCTCTTACGCCAAGCGACATCTTGTGCAACCCCAACTTCTCCAGTCACATTCAACTGCAAGGGACTTACCGTCGGTGCACCTGCCACATAGCATCGCTCCCTCCCTCCCCTCCTGCCTCACAACCTTTCATCCTCATTCTCACATACACCATGGCGTCGTCGTCCAGCAACGGCAACGGCCTCACGCCGCCGGTATTTCAGATTGAGACGGCCAGCCCAAGAGTCTCCGAAGACAGCGATGAAAGTCCTAGGAGGTCCAGCTCACCTTCGCCTCCGCCGCCTCCAGCGGCCGCCACAACCAACAACACCACAGCACAGAGGAATCGCTCGGATAGCCTCGCCATTCCCTCCCTTCACGTCAGCACATCCAGGCCGCGATCGTCTGGCGACGACGACACAATAGCAGCCTCTCCGACGACCTCGACCCATTCCAACCCATTTCTGACCCCCGGCGGTAGCACAATCGCCCCCAGCATACGTTCCAGGAGCGGCAGCATCATTATCGAAGATGTTGAATCCGCCCTTCGCCCGGATCCCGGTTCTGAAGGCGACTTCCACGCTGCGGACAGCTCGTTCGCCTTCAGCCCTGGCCATCTCAACAAACTTCTCAACCCAAAGTCTCTCTCGGCTTTCTATGCCCTCGGCGGCGTCAATGGTCTGGCAAAGGGTCTCCAGACCGATCTCAAGTCGGGCTTGAGCATCGACGAAACCACCGTCTCCCGTCGTGTGACTTTCGAGGACGCCACGAATAACAAGTCCCCAGTTTACGTATTGCCTGATGGCGTCAAGGGTCTCGCCCCGTATCAAACTTCTGGCGAGAGCTTCAAGGATCGAATCAGCGCCTACGGCACCAACACCTTGCCTGCCAAGAAGGCCACGCCCTTGTGGAGGTTGGCGTGGCAGACGTACAAGGACCCCATCCTGATCCTGCTGACCGGTGCTGCCATTATTTCGCTGGCGTTGGGCCTGTATGAGACTTTTGGCGTCGAGCATGGGCCCGATGATCCTCCCTCTGTCGACTGGGTCGAGGGCGTAGCCATTTGCGTTGCCATCCTCATCGTCACCCTCGTCGGCTCTTTGAACGACTGGCAGAAGGAAAAGGCATTCGTTAAGCTGAACGCGAAAAAGGACGACCGAGAGGTCAAGGTCATCCGCTCTGGCAAGTCTTTCATGATCAATGTTCACGACATCATCGTCGGCGACGTCTTGCACCTTGAGCCTGGCGATCTCGTACCTGTCGACGGCATCTTCATCACCGGCCATGATCTCAAGTGCGACGAGTCGTCTGCTACCGGCGAGTCTGATGCTCTCAAGAAGACTCCCGGTGATCAGGCCTTCCACCTGCTGCAGACTGGCAACGCCCCCAAGGATCTCGACCCCTTCATCATCTCCGGCGCCAAGGTTCTTGAGGGCATGGGTACCTTCGTGGTCACCTCCGTCGGCACCAATTCGAGCTTCGGCAAGATCATGATGTCTGTCCGCACTGAGATGGACGCGACACCCCTGCAGAAGAAGCTGGAGCGTCTCGCCATGGCCATTGCTAAGCTTGGTTTCGCCTCGGCCGCCCTCCTGTTCTTTGTCCTGCTCTTCCGCTTCGTCGCCCAGCTCGATACAGACACCCGCACCGCTGCCGACAAGGGCTCTGCCTTCATGGATATCCTGATTGTCGCTATTACGATCATCGTCGTCGCCGTCCCCGAAGGTCTACCTCTTGCTGTTACCCTCGCCCTCGCTTTCGCAACCACCCGCCTCCTCAAGGAGAAGAACCTGGTCCGCGTCCTTCGCGCTTGCGAGACGATGGGTAACGCGACTACGATCTGTTCCGACAAGACGGGTACTCTGACCACGAACAAGATGACTGTTGTTGCCGGCGCCTTTGGTTCTGCCAATTTCTCCAAGTCGGAGTCTGACGAGAGCACTGGCGTTGTCAAGTTCGCTAGCTCGCTGCCTGCTGCTACCAAGGAGCTCATTGTTCAGTCCATCGCCATCAACTCGACCGCCTTTGAGGGTGAGGAAGATGGTGAGGCTACTTTCATCGGATCCAAGACGGAGACGGCAATGCTGCACTTCGCTCGCAACCACATGGGCATGCAGTCCCTTGCAGAGACCCGAGCCAACGAGACTGTTGCGCAAATGATGCCTTTCGACTCGAGCAAGAAGTGCATGGGTGCTGTTGTTAAGCTGCCTGGCAACGGAGGTTACCGACTTCTCGTCAAGGGTGCTTCTGAGATTCTGCTCGACTACTGCGATTCGACCGTCGACATCAACTCTCTGGCAATCAGCTCGATGACTGAGAGCGACCGCGATCATCTTCGTGCTACTATTACCGCCTACGCCAAGAAGTCTCTCCGTACCATCGCCATGGTCTACTTCGACTTCCCGCAGTGGCCTCCCTCGCATGTCGAGTCAAAGGATGGCCATGCCGATCTTGCTGCTGTTCTTAAGAACCTCGTCTTCCTTGGTGTCGTTGGTATCCAGGATCCTGTCCGCCCCGGCGTCCCAGAGGCTGTTCGCAAGGCTGCCGGTGCTGGCGTCACGACCAGGATGGTGACGGGAGACAACGCTGTGACTGCCCAGGCTATCGCTACCGAGTGCGGAATCTACACCGAAGGCGGCCTGATTCTCGAAGGCCCTGTGTTCAGGACCCTTACCGAGGAGCAGTTCGCCGAGCAGCTTCCCCGCCTTCAGGTCCTGGCTCGCTCTTCGCCCGAGGACAAGCGTATCCTGGTGACTCGACTCAAGGCCATGGGCGACACTGTGGCTGTCACGGGCGATGGTACCAACGATGCGCCCGCACTCAAGGCTGCCGACGTTGGCTTTTCTATGGGCATCAGCGGAACCGAGGTGGCCAAGGAAGCTTCGGCCATTGTTCTCATGGACGACAACTTCACTTCCATCCTGACGGCTCTCAAGTGGGGACGTGCAGTCAACGACGCCGTCCAGAAATTCCTCCAGGTATGTTGAGCGCCCTGTGAGCGTGCGTTGGCTTGTTCTAACAGATGTAGTTCCAAATCACGGTCAACATCACAGCCGTCCTTCTGGCATTCATCAGTGCTGTGTCGCACCCCGAGATGAAGTCAGTTCTCACTGCCGTGCAACTCCTTTGGGTCAACCTCATCATGGACACATTTGCTGCCCTCGCTCTTGCCACCGACCCTCCCACCGAGAAGATCCTCGATCGCAAGCCGCAGGGCAAGAAGGCTCCTCTCATCACTCTCAACATGTGGAAGATGATCATCGGCCAGGCCATCTTCCAGCTCACGGCGACCTTGATCTTGCACTTCGCTGGCGCCCGCATCCTCGGATACGACACTAGCGACGCGCAGAAGCAGCTTGAGCTTGACACTATGATCTTCAACACGTTTGTCTGGATGCAAATCTTCAACGAGTTCAACAACCGTCGTCTTGACAACAAGCTCAATATCTTCGAAGGTATTCAGCGCAATCCCTTCTTCATCGGCATCAACTGCATCATGGTCGGCGCTCAGGTCGCCATCATCTTTGTCGGCAAGGAGGCTTTCAGCATCTCTCCCGACCCCATCGACGGTGTCCAGTGGGCCATTTGTGTCGTGCTCGCCATGCTATCCCTGCCCATGGCTGTCCTTATCCGCTTCTTCCCAGATGCGTGGTTCGGCGCCATTGCTCACAGGGTCGGTGTGCCCGTTCTCTTCATCTATCGCCCCGTAGCCAGGGTCTCGTCTCGCTTCTTCGGCGCCATCGGCGGCGGTTTCAAGAAGGTCTGGCGCATGGTCTTCAAGAAGAAGGCCGAAGATGAGGAGGAAGAGAAGTCCGGCAAGGGCGCTTCTGCGAACGAGTCGCCCGTTGTCGCTCCTGCTATCGTCATTTCCCCCGACGAAGCCACCAAGGAGAGGGATGTTGAGAAGGGTCAGTAAGCTCTGGTCCTCACCTGCATTACATCGGAAAGGCTTTTCCTGATCGATTGCGTTGTCTGTTTCCATTTTCATTTTCATTTTCATTAGTGTGGCGTTTCAGAGATGGTACGATACCCCGTCATTCATTACAGAGCATGAGACCGGCGTCCGGGCATTGTGGAGTGGCAATGCCCCTCGATTACAGTTTTGTATGATTAGAATCAGCATGATTTTGCGCGAGCGAGAAGATGAAGAGATGAGTACCAAACAAAAACAGTTGAATGAACCCGCAAGATTTGCGCCAACAGTCCAACAGTGATGTGGCATCTACTGCTCTGGCAGACTTGGAAGACCTTGCTTCACGATGTTGGCCAAGCGTTGTGCTAGAGGAATGACTGGTTCATATGCATGGCAATACGCATTCGCAGGGTCGAATGTCCGAGTGCAAGACTTCTCCCACTGCCTGTTTCCGCATTGTCACTGGTAGAAGGTTCTGGGGCTCCTCGTAGAACACTCACGCAGCGCGTCTGACAAGCTGTGATAGCCCTGGTGCTATTGCAGGAAAAGCTGCAGTCTCCACGTCTGTAAGGACTTCAGCCGGTAAAGAGTGCTAAGATAATGAACGGTAAGGGGATTCCTTGTCCCGGCACCTGGACGTCATGGCTGGGGAAGTTCAATATTCCTCGGGAGGTTGTTCCACCTGGGACCCATGAGTTTTAGTGAGTGCCGTGACAGGTCCTTCGATTTCTTACGTTTAGGGAGGCGAGGTATCTGAAGCGAGAGAAAGCGTAGAAGCGAACCGTGTTGGACAACGCAGAAATTTGAGCGTGTTGAACCTAGATTGCAGCGGCTTGATATGTTTGTCGAGGTCAGACATTTCGTGTTCATGACGGAAGCATGTTCCCTCTCCGAGGCATCTGATCGTAGCTTCAGACCACCCATGCTCAGTCGGAACCGCGACAGGCACCTGTCGTGTTGATCACCCTACTAACTACTCGGCAGCTTTATCTATCACATCCGAGACGCAATTACATAAGTTGTCTTGCAATGATACCGAGACGCAATTACATAAGTTGTCTTGCAATGATACCGGAGCCGGCGAGAGCCTCAGTCGAGGGTCAAGCACCCGACAGTCTGCTTCTACCACTGTTGTCGAATATCATGTAACATTGCATCACTTTGTCCTACTAGATCGGGTTTCGTGGTCTTCGGCACTGCAATTCTGCAAAAGCGCGGGCTAAGGATTTGGTGGCAATCGATTGGAGTCGCAAGACTGGGTATTTCTAGTTTTTAACACTCCGAAGACCGTCTGTTCATCCCTCACCCAGAAATGGAATCCATTATTGGCGCCATCCTAGTCGCTGCAGAATGGATCGGCTCGCTTCGTGCTTGACCTCGACATCCATGTCACGGATGGCATCCAGCACTCGCAGGTGTTCCTTCTTGAGGTCCTCAAAGTCGCGCTGCAGCTGCTCGTGCCAGGGGTACAGAACGAAGACCTGGAAACCGAGTGCCGACGAAGCCACGGCGAAGTTGGTCAGGGAGACGAGTCGCGTGATCCACATTGCGAAGTTGGGAATCGGTCTTCGTAAGCCTGTGTCGGTTGGGTAATGGTGCCGTCAAGTTGTCGTCAAGCTCTGATGCTGCCCAGCCTCATCAGCTAGAGCCCCTCCCAAGCCAGCGGACGCACCAGGTCTGCCTACCTGTCGCGATTCTTGTTTTGTGTACTCGCTGTGATGCTGCCCGTGGGAAGAGGAGTGATGGTCGCTCGGGATCTCGGTTGGTCACACGTTTCAGCGCGGTACGATGCTTTGCCAATTCCTCTCCCCACGGAGTTTGACAGACCGACCAGACCGACTCACTCGACACTCGGGGGTCACCGCCGTTCTTATGCTCCCTTTCGTCGGTCGGGCGGATATGCCTCGGTGATGTGACGGGGTTGCCGCTCGTGCCAACCTGGGATGCGTCAAAAGTGGCGTGATCTGTGGCCTTCTCTTTGGCTGGAGTGGAGACGTTGGACTCCTTTCAGGTCAGGCCCAGACGCGGCGGATGGGTGTCACATGGCAGCTTAAACCATCAGTCTCAGGAACATAGCGGGTAAAAGCGCCAGGATGCCGGCCTGCCGGTGGTCACTGTCCGGGTTGTCTTCGTGTTGTCCGTGGGTGACGGGCTGACACCGGGCATGTGTGTGCGCTAACACTTAGCTCCACTATGCCGTCGAAGATCGATTGTCTGGGTCAATCGCTCGCTTGCAGTAGATTGGTTTGAACCGATTGATGCAACTGCCACTTGTTGCTTCGTCTCTGATGTAACGTCTTGTATAAGTGGGTGGGTGGTAAACACAGGGTCGAATCAGCTGGCGAGTGAGCTGTCACAGGTCAGAGGACGAACGCACTTCACGTGGAGTTCATGATATGAAGAATTCGGGACTACAACGATGTCAAGGCCGGGTTGTATACCCAAACAAAAGTATCCCGACATGTGTTACCAGACATGAATGAGCCTCAAAACCTCGAAGCATAAAAATCCCCCTTGTTTTGCAAAACGAAAACAACCAAAACAAGTTCTTCCTAACTTATCTCATGACGTTCTGTGCAAGCCTTTGCCGTTATGCATTTTCTTCTCAGCTCCGCCTCCAAATTCACGGCTTCTGACAGCATCTACAGCATCGACAAACTAGAGATACCTTGCTTTCACCTTGATCACCTTGGTCCCCTCCCACTCTTTTCTTCCCCTTTTTGCGTTCAAACAGTGCCCGGACGTGGCTGGTTTCATCGTCTTCGCCACTTTTTTAACCATCTTCTATGCGAGCAAGGCAGTGCTCTGCTAGTATCAAGGTGCACTCAGAATCTTTCGGTCCGATAATTGTGCCTCAAGATTGCCGCGCTGTCAGCAGCCCGGGTTAATCTTTGCTTCTACATTGCTCTCGATAACTGTGCCTCAAGCCAGTTTGTATTCGTGATCTTTCACTCGATGCTTCTCTCAGCTCCAACTCTAGATCTTGGATAAGGTTACTGGCAACGTGACTCGTTACTAGTAGTGCCTGAGATAGCCTCGAAGTGCTGATAATCGCCAAGTTTTGAGTGATACCGGGTGCTGTTGTGCGGGTATTCGAGTCACTTAACAATCCAGAGACGTAGAAGACAGCACTCTCTGTGCAAGTCGCCAGGACCTCATCGGCGCTTACGGCGCTTGTTCGTGATTACGCTGCAGTGGCTTAACTAGGTGAATGTATGGTGAGGGAGGGAATGCAAGATATCAATGGTGCGATGCATGTCACTACGTGTCTTGGCCGGTGAGCCGCCCAGCATGGGATGCTCAATCCATCATTGAAGACTACCAAATCGTTTCGTGCTTAAAAAATGCCTACACTGATGACCCTTAGGTAAAATGTATCTCATCCTGGATTCATTTTTATGAAAGCGAAGATTAGATGGTGATCGTGTGGAATATGGGGCGCGCACAGCGAAATGGTTCGTGTCAGCAAAGTGTTTTCAGGCGTTGGCGGGATCACTATCGTTGATAGAACCCGGATCTGAATATTGCCGTGCTGACACGGCAATGCGATCAAGGCTAACTCCGCCGGTGCGTCTGCAGTGGACGCTCATACCCAGCGCTTCTACAACATTCATAATCTCAACAAAGAACCATGGCGCCCTCGCAAGTCCCAGCATACATACTCGGCGTTGCCTGCATCGGCCGTGGGCTCATGGCAATTGCGAAGCCCACAGAAGAATACGCTCATGTCGGCCTGCCACTTGAGCTTGCAGAGGCAACGCCCTCGCTCTCGCGCGACACGTCAATCGGCACCGCATCACCATTGATGCTGTTCAAGGGCATCCGCGAAGTCAGCTATGGACTGTCGCTGGCAGGACTACAGTGGCAAGACAACCACAATGCGGTCACGACATTTGCTGCTATCTTGTCGGCGGTGAGACTCGGTGATGGACTGGTGGTGTGGATGTGCGGGGGAGGCGCTCTTCGCCATAGGGCTTGGGGTCATTGGATCACCTCAGGTGGACTCCTGGGCTGGGTTCTGTGGAGGTTGAGGGGCTGACGAGAGGAAATGCATACAAAAGAGATTCGCTGGCGCCGCGCCCCTCGATCTACGGCATCCACCCCATTCCGGCCGGCGGATTTTGGATGTAGACAAGGTTCTCACGCCGACCTACAGGCCTCAGATTTTCGGCCACATCAGGTCTCTTCTTTTGGTTCATCATATGCACATGAAATTGATGTCATGAGCCTCAATTGCATGCGGTAGCCGGCGGCAAGATGATCTTTCTTGGTCAAACCTAACTCCGAGAGCTTACTCCGAGAGCTTGCGGTAACGGAGACTAAAATTAAATTCTCCTCCATCATCAAACGCGCCCTTCGTCGACATGCGCCTTATTGAGTCACAATCCGGCGGTAGGAGGGGGCCTTGTTCAAGCGTCCAACAAACTATCAAATAAAGCCATTTTCTCTGCAGTGATGGAATCGAACCGATTTTACGACAGCGCATCTCTCGACCATCGACAAAATGTCTGCAACAGCGACAACGGCGGCAACTGAATATGCACTGGAGGATCTCCGGTCCAGCGCTCTCGACGGCCAGAGCCGGTGGTCCACTCTGCGCCAAACCCGGGCTGGCCGACTAGAAGATACGGCGAGGCTGACCGACCCCGACCCAGCACTCGAAGCGTCGCGCCTGGCCGACAGCACCGTTCCCGACGGCGGCTACGGCTGGGTCATTGTCATGGCCTGCGCGGTCGTGGCCTTCTGGAACATCGGCATCAGCTACTGCTGGGGCGTGTACCAGGGCGCCTTGGTGGAACGGGGCGTCGGGTCGCCACTGGTGCTCTCCTTCTGCGGCTCGCTGTCGCCGGCGCTCATGTCGGTCGTCGCCCTGTTCGCTGCGTGGGCCATGCGGTCGCTGGGAACGAGGAAGATGGCGCTCGCAGGCGTCGTAATGAATTCAATGTCTCAGATCGGCGCCGGCTTCGTTGCTGACAGCGCCGTCGGCCTCTTCTTCCTGCCGG